TGGCTCACAGGGGACAGTAGGGGTGTTTAAAGAGGAGAAGGAGGAGGGGTTCATTTGCTGTAAGTCTTGTATTCAATTTTCTTTCCCATTACAGGTGGTCGCTGGCATGAAGTACGTCATAACTGTGAAGATGGTAAAGACCCCTTGCAGAAAGTATGGCGTCGATCAAGTGTGTGCAATCCACACAGATCAGGCAAAGTTTCAGGTACTGATGGCATCTTCTCAAAAGAAGCAAGATATTTGATCTGTTCTTAAACATCATGCAGCAGCCTTGTAACTAAAGCTGCATTCACACTGGAAGTGATTTGCTCAACGCAGATCTTTTTGCAGCTGACGGCCGGTGTCCTGTTGAAAAGTCATCAGCTGAAACAAATTGATTTCTGATGTTTCTATGTTTTGTTTTTTATTTCATAATAATAAATCACCGTTTTCTGCATACTTGACATAGTTTTATAGAACTGTTCTGCTGCCCTCTTGTCGCGATGTTGCTGTGAATCCCTTTGAGTGTGTAATGCATATTAATCTGATCGTTAAATACTCATGTTCTTAATAGACATTATGCTATTGGATAAAAAAAAAACCTAAAGCATTTATATGTGTAAATAACACCACCTGAAAGATCCTAATGTTAAATGTATTGTCTGTTTTTCCTTTCAGCCCTACCAGTGCACATTCGAAGTGTGGAGCCGCCCATGGCTTAATTCCATTGAGTTACTGAAGAATGAATGCCAACACTGAGATCTACGTGGGACGCTAGAACGAGAACGCTTGGGAAATCTTACCTTTGTGTCAGAATAATCTTCTCTTAGACTGCAATGCACTTTCCTGTAGGTGGAATAAATATATTAATATTAGTATTTGTTGCCTTTACTACTGCACTGCTTAACTAATCAAACTTGTTTTAAATTTCCAAAATCAACTATCCAGTGTTACAAACTAGGTCTCCCTGATTTTTAAAGAAGCAACTTTGCCTCATCAGTAAACCAAGCAAATAACAAACTTTTGTGTAGTCAAACTGATCATGAGCTGCTTTCCCCCCCCCCAGATAATTCAGTTTTGAAATAAAGTCAAACTTGCACACAAACTTTAATGTGTCCGTGTGGTAAATGCACACAAGGATGACGTTTTAGCTCAATAGAGCTTCTTTGTTGTTGTTGATGGTGACGAGTTCTCTGGATACCTACCTACTGACTAAGAGGAAGGAGAATGTGAACAAATCTGGGACAGACATGACTGACAACAGAAAATGCCATTCACATTATTTTCAACATCTATAAGGAGTTGGTGGATAGAGCAGTTACACTTTTAATCACTTTGGAAAAGAGGGGAGTTTTTGTCTAACACTATAAAACATATTGGACTTTGGGTGACCAGGGTTCCCACTTTATGTAGGACTACACTGCATGTTTAACCCTTTTCCCACCTGCCCTGCACTCTGAGACACTATCTTACATTTTGATTAATCTCAGTTAAAGTCAATGCAAAAGCCTGTTGAAAGTCTCTTTAATCTGAGGGTTCAGATCACAGGTCAAATGCAGGTCAAAATTAAACCATTAAAAGTGACCAATAAGATAAGCTGTGTAGAATATGATGGAACTACAACAAATATAGACTGCTTGTAAGTGGTTGAACTCAGTGAAGAAAAGAAAACTCACTTTAGGCTTATTCAACTACAGAGGGAGAGCTGAGATGTGCATTTGTATTTCGAGTGCTAAACTCCAAACACAAAATTCACACCACCTGTCAGCACTCATCTACGTCACATTGTCCCACGCAAGCACAGTCTTTGTCCCACTTTTAAGTTGTT